TACCGCCCCCTCCATTGATCGACAGGTTCCTGGACACTCTGCCCTACTGATGGCCCGGGCTGACCAGACAGAGAAAAACCCATGTCACTTCCTGTTCAGGAGCACGCACACACATCCAGAAGCGAGACTCACTCCCCTCTGACTGAAGCAGGGCAGAGAGAGCCAATCAAATGCTTTTCACTCAAACGGACAACCAACTAAATGCTTTTCACCAGTATAAAAGACAAATACACAAACGCTTTACCCCTTTTTATTTGATCCTCCCGTTTTTCTCATGTGGGGACGATGACGAGGCTGAGATGGACGACGGAAAAATGACTTTTTATTGTCCTCTCTCCGTCCGGGTGGCAGCTCATCCAGCAAACAAGAACACCAAGGTTTATGAGTACTGTCTATCTGTATTTTGGCTTGGCTCATCCAGTCTGAGGACTTCTTTTTAGCAAAGAGGGAAGGGGAGGTGTCAGTGTGATCAAATGTTTTCAAAGCTGAACATGTCCCAGTGAAAAACAAGTTGCTGTGCATTCTAGTTCCTCTTGCTGAGAGAAGGAAGGGGGTGTTTTCATACTGAAATGTACTGACATGTCAGAGGTCAGACAGCGTAGACGCGCAGAAACATCCCAAAGCAGGACACAGATATTTCATAAACACGTGGAGGTGGCTGTTGAGTTGGGCTCTTGATTCCAAGTGCAATTTCTGAAGTGCTATCACCCCACAACAGGAAGAGACGGAGCAGGAACGGTTTAATTTCAAACTCTAAATTATTTTAATACAAAGACTCGTCCTGTGTTGTCAGTAGCTAAAAGAAAGAGAGACAGTCTCCGTCTGGCTTTAGAAAGCAGAGGAGATACTGTGCACTAACGATTGATGACTGAGTCACCCAGACTTGAACTTGCTCTAGTATGTTTTTTTTTTATTAACTCATTTTGAAATCATAGGTCGAGTAGGAGTACGGAGGAATGAACATGGACATAAATTGGCTTTTGAAGCACTAACACCCTGAGAAGGGCTAGAAGCACAGACACACACCCTACCTGCTCCCCTGGAGGACGGCAGGGAGTCGGGGAGAGGAGGGTGCTCGACAGATAGCTGTACGTCCAGGGGTGAAACATTCCGCAGTCATGCTCTTTTTCTATTTGTTTCTATTGTGGAGGCCGTGTGAGAGTGTGGAGGACATGGCTGCATACTGTCTTTGTGTGTACGCTTAGAGAAGCCAGGATCATATGCATGGTGTGTTATAAGCTGTCAAGAGCTGCCATAGCCTGTCAAAACAGCTCGACCTGTGTTTGTGTCTCAGACTGCGGCTCTATGGGGATCTCCCTGGGCCTCCAACACCCACTCACACACTCACGGCAGCAGTTTGAAATATGAAAAAAAGCAAAATTATATAGATATAAATATAAATATATATATATATATATATCAAAACTAATATTTTGAAGTGTTTTTAGCTTTTTCAAATATTGTGGTACGAGTTGTGCATTGTTTTTTGAAGAAGAGAAACAAAAAAGAAAAAAAGTTGCTGTTTTTTCAATGTCCCTCTTTGGTTTGAGTTTCCTGTTCAATTCTTTTTTTTCTTTCTCTTTGGTTCACTGGATTTTCTGTTCAGCACTTTGAAATTATAAACTAGTTCTGATTATTCTGCCCGACTGCTTCCTGTGTTTTGATTTTTCACACAAAATTCAAAATTCAAAAAAAAAATATCCAAACATTGCAGTGTTTCAAGACTTTTGAAAAAGTAATCAAAAGACCAAATCTGAGATGGTTTTATACAGAATACAGGTGTGTGTGTGTGTGTGTGTGTGTGTGTGTGTGTGTGTCTGGTCAGACACAAAAGCCTCTTGACAGGTAAAAGGCCTCGTCTCTCTCCCGAGGGACACTTGGGCTCTCACAGAGAGTAGAGGGGGGATTAGGAGAGTGAGGAGCGGGGGAGGAAGAGGGAGGAGAGGAGAGCTTCATGTTAGCATGAGGTCCAGATCAGCCTCCAGCCTCGTTAAACACCATCGATCGCCATGGTGACATTTCACAGCACATGCCGTCTATACTGTCACTGCCATCACTCACTCGTGCTCAAGCGTGAGCACTTACACACACACTCACTCTCTCTCAGACAGCCAGGTGATTGATAGTAACTGTGGTAGTGAAATTGTGAACAGCTCTATCCGTGTGTTGTGTGTGTGTGTGTGTGTGTGTGTGTGTGTGTGTGTGTGTGTGTGTGTGGACACAGAGAGGGATAGAAGTGCACCAGAGTAAAGTTCAGAGTGTGCATAGAAGTGTGAAGACATGAGACATAAGACACACCCAGTGACATATGATTAAATCTATGATGTGAAACTGCATCTTCTATCCCTTGATATTTAAATTTGTCACGTCCTAATAAAACAGACATTTTATGATCCAAAACACAAAACGATAAAGAGGAAGTGTGCTTGTTTTTTGTGTGTGTGTGTGTGTGTGTGTGTGTGTGTGTGTGTGTGTGTGTGTGTGTGTGTGTGTGTGTGTGTGTGTGTGTGTGAGTGCATATGTGTGTCATGTGAGAGACAAGAATCTGTCACACATCTCACGCTTCTGCCGGGGATTGTGATGTCTCTGTGTTTGATCAGCAGGTGGGAAAAGACCATTCAAACTATTTTTATAGTGGTGTGAGTGCGTGCGTGTGTGCCAATGAATGTGTGTTAATCCTATTTGTACGACAGAGACATGCCTGAGTGACAAGTAAAATAACATGAGCACGAAGCAGAGAGCTCTGCTTGGAGCTTGAAACACACACTCAAACTTGCACATGCGCACACACACACACACACACACACACACACACACACACACACACACACACACAGTGACCTGTCAGTCTCCCGGCCAATCGATCAGTGCTGACAGATAGCAGATACCCCCAGAGTTTTAATTAGAGGTCCCATTAGAACATAAATACGCACCCACATACATATGCACACACACACATTCAAAGCAGCTGTTTTTTTTTTCTAGCTGTTGGTTCATAATTTATCTTTATCCATTCAGAAATGTAAAATTACCCCTTTATGAGTGATGGTAGCAAAATGTGTACATGTGAAAAGCTGCAAGGCATTTTAAAAACATGCAGTAGGTTGTGATCTGAACAGACATTTTTTACATGTCACAGTCCATAAAGCACAGGTGTAAACAATACATTTTAGGATGGCTGAAATCCATTTACTTGCTTCAGTTTGGGTTCTGGCATGCTGGCTCACTGTTCCACTGCCATGGCTTACTGGGACAGAATGAAGCCATTATTAATGTTATTAGTAACATCTGAGCTTCTCCTACAATGACAAGTCAAGATGTCTGCTGTGAAAAAAGGTCTATATCCACTGAGCCATCAGGATGTGCTGATCACACCTGCTTTAAAAACCAGTAAGTTGCAGGAGGTAAGAAGCGAACGGAGCTCCCTGCTGGCTTCCTCTCCTGCTGACAAACTTCCTGGATTAGACTAAAACGAACGGCACCTGAGTCCTCCTCAGCCTAAAACACACACACACACACACACACACACACACACACACACACACACACACACACACACACACACACAAGACAGACATACACATGAACCCAAATATTTTTGATGACTTGCTATTTAGACATTCACTGTCAGCTTTGTTCTTCCCCCTCAGTCTGTAACTCTGGGAGTCCCCTGGAAGTGGACAGACAGACAAACAGACACACACACACACACACACACACACACACACACACACACACACACACACACACACACAGACACACACACACACACACACACACACACAACATGTGTATAGCACCAGGGGAAATCCCCTGTAGCTGGGGACTGTGTTTCACTGTGGCCCCTCGCTTGGAGCATCCGCTGAGGGAAGAGTGTGTGGGGGGTTGGCCTAAATGTCAAAGGTAAAAGGTGTCGAAGAAGAGAAGTGGAAACATGCAATAGACCCACTCACACTGGCTGATCTCAGAGTAGAGGAGGGGGAACCCCAACTCTGTATCTCTGTCTCTCTCCCAAACACAACACAGACAAAAATATCACACTTAATGTTTCTTTCCACAGGATCGATGTTGTACATACGTAGCTAACTGTGGAAAGCTGAATGAAAATGACAGAAATAACTTAAATAAATATTTAAAATCAAATCAGTAATTTCTTTGCTATAATTTTAACCAGATAATTATAACTTTTAATAACCAGATCTGTGTTTTTTAATGATGTTAAGGCTGTGACCTGATTAGGATTGTTTTGATATATTGCCACCACTTTGAAATTGTAGCATGTATGTCATTTTGATAGCTGTTATTAGTTATTGTAATGCATTTTGAAAGGTCACAAGTTTCAATACTTTACCACACATAGTGACCCCACAGTCACTTTCAGAGCTACCTCTTACCAAAGATTATGATCCGATGGCAGAGCTGTGGACAAGAGTTTGGAAATTTTGAGGTCAAATTGAACTTTATGACCCACTTCCCAAGAAAAACCCCACCCACCTGAGAAAATGTTCAAGAAACTCATTATCTAATACAACAATTCTTGGTTTGTTTTATTGAATAAATTAACTGTTCAATTATATTTTCTGTTGCTTGTATCTCCAACTATTATAATCAAAAACACCCAAACCCTTTTATTCTAATTTATTTATCTATTTGGTCAGATTTTATGTTATATTTAGTTTTTAACAACCAAATAATAAACCTTAAAAAACAGTAAACAGTAGAATGTAAACTCATCATGTCATTAAACAACAAATTACCAAAAATATAGGCTCAAAATATAGTATTTACATGTAATGTTTTATGATTTGGAATAAATTAAATGTTGATACCCGTGATAGCAGAAACTGGTTTACATGTTTAGTCAGTTTCACCTCTGTATTGTGATTATGGGCTCTTAATTATAATACGATCAATCATAAACAACACGAGAAATAAACACTTAAGTCAGAAATATAACTTTTCCTCCCGGGGACATGGAGGAGGAACACAATGTGCTGAAGCAGCTGGTTGAGGTCGGAAACTATTCATGGACGCACTGGGAAGAGAGTTGTTTACAAACAACAAAGTGTCAGAAACAAACCGAAAGAGTGCCCGAAAATGAGCAAATATTAACAAATAGTTAATATTTTCAACAGCATGGAGGCTCACAACAGTGTTTAACGAGTATAAATTATATCCTCGAAGGATATTTCCAGCGGTAAGTGTGAAGTCCTTTAAGTTTCGTTTACCAGTAGACAAGTGTTTGAAGATTTCCTGCTTAAATCAGTGAGTTAAAATAATAATAAAGAGTTAATAAAAGCTGCACACGGAGCTGATAGCTTCAGCACATAGCTAGCTGCTAATATCAAACTAATCCGTTTATTTAGCTTTTGTGAACTAGTCAGCTGTCGTCGAGCTGGATGTGTGCAGTCGTTATCAGTTTCGATTCACACGTTGTAAGACAAAACTAAACCTGAACATAAAACTACAATGAGTTCACTAAAAGCCGAAGAATGTCTTGTACATATTTGTGTTAGCTTCCAGTAAGTGTTATAACTACACAGTAGGTGTATCATAACGCACTGTTATTACCGTTCACATAGGGCAGTGTTGTGTAGCTACAGGGCTGCAACAGAAGATTGGTTGTTATTAGCATCATTTATTTGTCTGTAAATAGTTTTCTGATTGATTTTTAGTGTAAATCTATCAGGAAACACAATTCTCCAGAGCTCAAGGTGATGTATTCAAACTTAAACACAACAGTCTAAAAACCCAAAAGGTATTTGATTAACATTAACACTTAGAACAGCTGAAAACATGCTTGATACATGACTTCTACTGATTATCAAGATTTGTGATTGATTTTCTGTCGACTGGTAGATTGATCGAGTACTAAGATATTATGCTGTCAGTAAGTTATTCTTTTCGCTAAAAGGATGGTGGCAAGAAAAAAACAACAATTTATTAGTGGTATGTAAGGTGCCAATTTTAGATGTGTGGGCAGACTCGCATGTGTCACAGAGTTTATTCATTTGATTTATGTATTTATTAAAATCATACACTGCTGGTATTTACAGTGTCTGTGGGGGCAGTGAGATAAAGCTGAGCAGGTGCAGTGTCCAAGTTGCACAGAGGTGTTGGCTGTGGGCAGTCAGCAGGACACATGGCAGAGGAAGGCAACAAGCTGACACTGAGGCGCCTGGAGGCACCAATCCACAAGTTCATTAAAGTGGCTCTACCCACGGACCTGGAGAGGCTGCAGAAACACCACAATAACATACTGAAGGTGACGGTTGAAATCTGGCTCGGCACACGATTGCACCCTCACGTCCACACACTCTTACTTCCGTTCCACAGATGAATAATAGCTCATTTCTCCTTTATTTCCCGCAGTATCAGCATAGCCAGCAATGGGACCGGCTTCATCAGGAGCAAATCAATGCCAGCAGAACCGTTCAGGTATAAGTCCTTAACCTTCAGCTGGTAAATGACCTGCCAGTAATTGATATTCTCTTGTTATTGTGTGAAAGAGATGAGCCACAATATCACGTTGTTAAGCAGTAACCTATATGACAAGTTCCAGTTTCTTCATAACACTTAACTTACCAGCCTTTATGTCACCTGTCTCATTGGCTCTCTAAATTCCCGAACAAGCATCACCCTGCAACTGCATTATTGGTCCCTAATTGTTTGGAAAGTTTCCTGATTTGTGGCGATCAAGTTTTTTCCAATTTGAAAATGAAAAGTGATTCATTGGCAGGACAGAGATGTTTATCCAGTTAAGTTCTGCTTATAAATGAGTATGGCCTGAGCAACTGAACCCTGCCACACCACAATGAGCCAAGCTTTCCTCAGCAGGTAAAAGATGGTCAGTCGTCATTGAAATATTATTTTTTATGACCTAAATGTCCAACGGTAGAGACCACTCTTGACATAGGTGTTACAATCATATATGACCCCTTCCTTTTGCATGACCAAACTCTTTTCGAAGGTCACATGATAACAACTAAACCATCTTGATGACAACTGCTGTGGTTGAAAGCTTTAGAATAGATCTGTCAACTATATTAATATCAATTAAGCTTGCTCAGAAAAGTTATATTTTGTTTGTGTATACATATACAACATATAAAATACATACAGACACTGGATCAGCTATTTATAACTAAATTAACTGTCTATAGAAATTCACTCTTAAAAATCAGGGCAAGAAAAGAGCTGTTACCAAACCTCAAATGGACCGTCTTGTGTGTGTGTGTGTGTGTGTGTGTGTGTGTGTGTGTGTGTGTGTGTGTGTGTTTGTTTGTGTGTGTTTGTGTTTGTTTGTGTGTTTGTGTGTGTGTGTGTGTGTGTGTGTTTGTTTATGTGTGTGTGTGTGTGTGTGTGTGTGTGTGTGTGTGTGTGTGTGTGTGTGTGTGTGTGTGTGTTAGTACTTGTTCACATGGTGGGTGTGAAATGCCTCCGGGGATGTTGTTGCCTGGAAGCCACCATGTCTCTGAAGGTGAAATAACTCCAAACAGGCGCACACCTATCCTCTCACCATTACCCTGCAAACCTTAGGGACGCCCACAGAGTGCTTTCCCATGTCTTCAGTGTGTTAATCCAGAGTAGGGGTTAGTCTACTCTGCTTCAGATGTGTGTATGTGCGTGTGCTTATATTCCATAGAATAGATAGATAGTAGATTGGTCTGTTTAGTCCGCCCGTCTTTCTGCCTGTTTATCCTCACTGCTTTTAATCTGTCCTTTGTCCCTCCTCACAGAAAGACAGACTGCAGTCTCTTACCCTACTTGATGATTGACATTTACTCCCACTAGCCTAGCGCCTAGCTAACCCCCAAGAGGGAAGCACAGGCAGACTCAGTACCTCTACCTTAACCACAGCAGCTACAGCAACCACTACAAGACAGGGGAGCGCAGTCAATACCGTTTTATCATAAATATCGGCTATTGAGTATGTGTTTGGTTGTTCCGACTGTGTGTGTGTGTGTGTGTGTGTGTGTGTGTGTGTGAGCGTTGTACAGTCACGGTTAATTTACAGGCTGACAGGTGCCTGACCCGACTGTCTCGCTGTTAATCAGTGTGTTTTTCTGTTTTATGCACATGAGGACAAGTGTATGCATGTATGTTTATTCATGTGGTGTAATTAGCAGAATGTGTTATCGGCAGTGTGTTGACCCCCTGAGCCCGGGTCGTACTGCGGCCTGGAGGGCTGATGGCTGGGATGTAATCCTCCTGTCACCCTCAGGGCACGGTGGGATGAGGGGGGCTTGTGTTCCCCTGCCTCATACGTGAACCCTCATTAAACCCACCACACCCCAAACACGCACACACACGTTTCCCATCGCTAGCACAGCTTACTGGCATGTTGAACCTGTCAGCATGAGCACTTCTTTACTAGGGTAACAGACAAAAGAGAGAATTGGCTGTGATTGTGAACTTTGTGCCCTGTGAAGATTGATATTACTGGAATTGTTTGTTATGCTGTGTGTCTCATCTTATTTCTACCTTGTATATTTCTCCTTTGACAACTACATTTAACCATAGGTTTGCTTGTCCTTCTGTGCCGGCTGTCCCTTGATCAAGTCAAACATCCCAGTACCTTGTATTTCATTCATTGTATAACTGTCCCCCTGACACTCACAATGTTACTGACAAACCTGCTTCTTTACTGTCCCCCTGCAGCAGTTGCGAGCTAACATCAGAGAGATGGAGAAGCTGTGTGCTCGGGTCCGTGCTGAAGACGCCGGCGCTCTGGAAGAGCTTGTCAAGCCAGTTAGAGACAGGGCGTCAGCCGCCGCACGGGACTTCTTGCTTTTGCACTCTAACCCCATGTCTCAGCCACCAACACCTGCCGCTCAGCCATCCAGCTGCGTGTCCAGCAGTGGCCACGCTTCTGACGATGTGGACGAGGAGCCGGTGTCTGGCAGGCAAATTCAACTTCATCTTCCAGAAATCCCTGCTGACCAGAGTGCAGCTGAGTCCTGGGACAACCTTGAAGAGGTACGCATGTCTGGACCCCTGGACCCTCCACGTTTTGAGCAGAACCCCTAACATACAGTGTGGATATCATGCTCTATTTTATACTTATTTTAAATTAAAAGTATCTTATTTTTAAAAAAATGTAAACAGCTTAATGCTTAAATGTTTAAACTTACTTCAACCATAGTAAACAACAGACTAATAGTTGCTAGTGCCAGTTTTTCAGTTCTTCAGAGGATGATGAAATCCGAATGAAACAACAACAAGGAAACCATTTTGACTTGTCATTGAAGGAAAAACACACAATTTACTAATAACATTAACAATGGCTTTGTTCTATTAAAGTGTCCCACTAAGTCATGACTGTGTGACAGTGAACAATACTAGAACCCTGAAACTGAAGCAGCTAAATGGAATTCAGCCATTATTAATATTATTATTTACACCTGTGCTTTTCCTACATGTCAAAAATGTTGAAATAAAATCAAAGCACTAACTGGTAAAGCACAAGTAAGTAGTTCCCAGTCTTGGTCTATACTAAACGTTGCCATGGTTACATACATTATTCATCACTATTGCAAGATCATCTAATGCAATTGACCCCTCTTACCTGTTCCTACAGACGCACTTATTGCACGCTGCTCTACTATAATACACACAACACACATTAATATTCATTCTCATTAGTTAATGCGATGGTCAGTTCCAGTCACTGACAGTTCGGACGTACTGTATCTGTCGATTTGTGTGAAAAGCACCACAGTTAAATAAATACAGTCATTTTTTCTGTCTCAGGATCTGAAGGAGCTGAGCGGTTTGGTGACGGAGTTCTCTCTGCTTGTCCATGTGAGTACGAACACGGCAATCTGCTCTGTGCTTCCTGGCTGCTACATTCACATAGAGGCATTTCTCTATCTACATGTGTGCACAGCTACCCCTGTGAACAAAACAATGTGACAGAGGCAGTTCGCCTATAGCGTTTCCAGGAAGCGGTGTGTGTGTCTGTATATTTGACCATGTGTGCCTGTGTTGCCTGGTAAGGCTCCTCCGAGAGGAGGTTACAAAGATCAGCTCAGGACTACTGCTGGGGCCCCAGAGGCCCCTTCACCAAGGCAAGGGGAGAGATTGAGGAGAAGACGAGTGGGAGTGGGAGGATTTGGGGGAGGACAGCGGGTTGTCCACAGGGGGAGAGGCGGGGGAAACAAGGGATACATCGGAGCAGGTGGAGAACAGACGGCTCAGATTATCACTCTGTCCTCGGGGATGGAGAGAGAGAAGCAGGGAAGGCCGAGTGAAGGAGAGATTAACGGTGAAAAAGAAAGAGAGAGAGTGAAGATGTAGTTAGGGTAAAAAAACAGACAGAGGCATGGGGAGGGAGGGTAGAAAGAGCATAGACATGTTGTTGTGGTGTCTCAAGGGTGAAAGACGCCGTTAGGGGAGTAATATTCCAGCGCTCAGCCACAGTGGAAATAGTGAGTGAGTGTGTGGTTGTGTTTCTGTACATGCGTCATGTTAGTGGCTGTTCCGATGTTTGTGTTCTTATCTATATGTTTTTTTCTTTCTTTATATGTCTTCTAGCCTTATTTACAGTCATAAGCCTATAATGTGATTGCACTTTCTACTAGGTTTAAAACTGACTGATGCACTATTTCAATTATTCAAGAATCTTAAGTATTTCTGATATTATTCATTTATTTTGGAAAATGTAAACAGCAAATGCCCATCACGATGTACTAATGAGCTAATGTGTCTAATGTGTTTCAGTTTATATGATTTCATTTCATTTAAGATCATCATAGTTCAAAAACAGAGGCTGTTATATGATAATATGAAACAAAAACAATACAAAAT